CTCCAAAATGCTGCTTGAATTTGACAAAGTTCAAACAGCAGCGTTTCTTTACTGAGAGCTTACTACATGCTAGGCACTGCGATGTGCCCTTCTCCATCTAGACCTCATCGCAACTGCAAGGTCTGAACCAGTGCTCCTAGTAACATTGTGGTAGGAAATCGAGGCCCAGAGACCCGCTATCTCATCCAAGGTGACCCAGCCCATAAACAGAAGGCACAGCCTAGTATCCAGGGCTCTCTGAGTCTTAGCCATGTCCATGAGACCACACTGCCACAAACATATGCATGGTGCCAGTTAAGGAGATCTAAGAACATTGTCGCCCTTGGCTTACATGTTGAAATGAAAACACTGCTCTGGTAGACATGTTTTGTGGAAATTTACCAGTATCAAAATAAAAGCCTTCTTTTTAAGTAAAACTCCATTGGGGTAAAGTTTGAGTTAGATTTCTAAAATTTATTTCAAATTACCCAACACATATTTGAACTTCCTTTCAGATGGTGATGTTAAAAAATACTGGTGCAACAACTACTCTTAAGGATCCTGATATTATCTTTTATATTCTTATAAGTATGTAGTATGAGACAAGGCCTGATACATAATACAATGTAAAACAGTATGTGATGCAGAGGGAAGTTGGTTTGAACACTTAGCCTGTGATTTAAGATCCCCCAGGGAAGCAACTGTTCTACCCCAAATGACAATAATTTAAGTATCTAATGCTCTCAAGGAAAAAAAGAAGTATCACTATTGTTTTGCAATTAGTTAAAAACACTTTAAAATGAAGTATATTATTACAACAGTGGGGGTGGAAACAGAACAAATCAGTCTACTAATTGCCTACATTTGATTCCTCTTGATTCCAGTTACAGTCCTATTTGACTCTGTGACACTGGTGAGTGGATGATTATGTCATCTACAAAAGAAGAAAATGGCCTCAGTGCACAGGAAGTCTCTCAAGGGCTTTTAAAAATTTCAACAGCTGAACCCTTCCTGCCTTATGCCTACACTCATTGCAAAAGCATCACAACTGGTCACCCAGCCACCAGGCCCTCTCCAGGCCATCACTTCCGCCACATGAGCTGTTGGAGTGACATTTTTTTTAAGTCCCAAACTGACTGTGTTGCCTCACTACTTGGAAACCTTCCCAGGAATCGGTCTGGCTGGATCACGTGGCCTTTATTTCCACTCGGCGCCCTTCATATGGTTTTACTGCATGTCCCTCCTCCCAGCCTAGTTTTCCAAAGGGCAGCACTCAAATCCTGTGGCTCTTTTAACTCAGGGCTGGGCAAACTGTCTGTCATACAGCAGGCAATTAAAGAAGCTGAAGGAAGGAATAAGAACTCAACTTAGGGACTGTCTTAGCTTCAAAGGAAAGGAAATAAAATTAAGTATGCATGTTAACATCCAGAAGGTGTCAGAGCCATTTGGTAAGTAGGTTGATTCACTCTAAGCACTTGTACTATTGACTGGGCATCGATGACAAAAAAAATCAGCAAGCACTATAATGTTTTTAAGTGTTATTGATGATTCAATACTACAAAATATTTCTCCGTCAATCACAAAACTAATTTAACTGTCAGCCACGCAGGGCCAGATGTCAAAAACATGTGTTAAAAGGCCCTAATATGCCATGATCTACTTGATTAACAACTAACTTGCAGAAATTCCAACAATGTGTTCTTGTTTTAGTCTTATTTGCATTGGCAAGTGTTTCTTGTGCACTCATCTGGCTCTGCACAGGTCTAATCTATTTGTGCTTTATCACTGAGCGGGAACTGAATTACAGCAGCCTCCGGCTCTGCTAACTGCCTTTCTCAACTGCTTATCTGCTATGTGGCTACAGCAAGGCTTGGCGAGACCAGCTTTATAAATACTGTGGGTTCCGTCTCTTGAGCTTCTGTGTGTCAATCCTAGAACTAAGTCATACTCAATCTTAACTTGCTATGTGGCATTATTTTTTGCACTGTGAATAAGTATATAAATTCTTAGAAACTAAAAGGAATAACACATTCCCCAGAAGGTCATAATTCAAGTGGAATGGTGAATAGTGCCTAATAGGTTCTATTCATCAGCCAAATGACAGAAAATAATTAGATGTTCTTATGAGTCCATGATTTTTAATTAATCATTTTATTTTTTGTATATCTTGTTCCAGGGGATCTGTTCAATTAAATGTGATAAAACTGGAACTTGTGAGGGAAGGGCCGTTAAAGGCGATTGTGATGCTGTCAAAAGCACAATTATCAGAAGGTTTGAGTTTCAGTCCCATTCCATCACCCGTGAGCTGAGTGGCCTTGGGATAGTCCAGAGGAGGCAACAAAGTTCCAACATAGGGCCAACTTAGACAAATCAAAAGTGGCTTCCTGGAGCACTGGGTTGAGAAGTTAGCATGCACCATGGTCTATCCATGACATCCACGTAGCACATAGAAATGGGGAATAGTGCTGCATCTGTCCAAAATTTTCATTTCTGGGCAAGTCATTTCACCTCACTAAGGCCATTTCCCATCTTTAAAATGGAAAAGCATAAGTTTGGTGTTTCTCAAAGTATGGTCATTTAACCACTTTCATCAGAATCACTGGGCATACTTTTAAAAATCACAGGTTCCTTGGCCCCATGGCAAAGCAACTGAATCAGCATCACTAGGAAATGGGACCCAGGAGACTGTATTTTAAGAAGCTCCCTAGATGATAAGATTATTTGGATACACACAGAAGTTTGATACTGGAATAAATACTTAAAAGCAATCTATTATTCTTTGTCCCATGATAAAGAACCTTGCCAGTTCCTATCCAATATTTTTGTCTGTGCTTTTCAAATACACTAACATTCTGATTTTGTCACTTTTTGAAAATTCCCTTCAAATAAATTGACCTGTGTTTGCTTTTATTCTTCATTACTATGAAAGGCTAAAAGTCAGATGCAAATAAGGTTTGAAAACTAAGAGCTCACACAAAGCTGGCCTACCTCACATTTGGCTTGAGCATCATAATACTTTAAAACCTGAACTTGAATGGTTTGGGGTAGGTCAAGGACTCTGCAGCTTGCCACGGTTGCCAGCAGTCCCTACTGCCTCACACCAAACCCACTTCCCTCATTTTTGTTCTCTGCCTGGCTCTTCAAAGTATCTAACTACTCAACTCCTCATCTATTGCCTAATTCAGATTCCATGTGCCTGAGATTGTGGATCAGCAAACTGAATAATTATTATCAAGGTAGTTCCAAAGAGAATGGAACTTAGAGGTCAGCTAATTTAAATGTGCATTTTGAAAATAATGTACTAAGAGAAGAGTCTTGCCCCACGTGATGCAACTCTCAAGTGGTGGCATGAATATGAGGGGGGCAGACTCCCACAGACCTCAACCTTCCTTCGCAGTAGTCCCCTCATTCTCAAAGGAAGTGCTTAAATAAAAGGAACAGTTTCAGATTTGGGGATTCTTCGGGTATTTAAACTAGAATAAATCAAATCTTAATAGAGCCGGGGGAAAAAAATGATAAAATCCTGCCAAGAATCCATGACATGGAAAAATTATATGGTATATGTTTACTTCTGTAAAGTTGCAGAAAGAAATTGAGAGGTAGTGATGGAATGACATCATATCACTCAAAAACTGCAAACAGGATACATACTCATTAATAGTTTTCAAACCAACATTCCCTCATTCAAATTTTTACAAAGAAAATTACTACATAGAGTTTCAGTAATAAATTCTTAAAAATTTAAAAAAAGAGTATTTTTCCTGAAGAATCATCTTATTTATTCTTTTATGTTTTCAAGTAAAATCTTATATCTTTATAATATTAAAGTTATAATGTTATCATTTCTATCTAGCCATAGAATTACAGCTCTTCCTTTTAGCATCTCTATTTTTTTATGTAGTGCAGTGATTCTCAGACTAGAGTGAACATCACAATGACTGGATGTTCACTCCAGGAACTCACTAAAGTGCAGAATCCCAAGCCCTCCCAAAGTTCTGATTTAGTAGGTATAGATAGAGTCTAATAATTCAGATTTTCAACAGGCACCTCCTGGTGATTCTGACGTAGAAGTCAAAGAAGCCTTCTTTAAGATACATTGGCTTAAAAAAAAAAAATCTGTGGGCCATTTAGTCTAATGCCTTCCATTCCACAAATTTGAGGTGCTGGGAAAGAGAGTTACTTGCCAAGGTCATCCAGTTAGTTAGTGGCAGGGCTGGGACTAGCTCCTACCTAAGTCTCCTTCTATTTGACTTCATTACTACAGTTTATAGACTATGATAATGGGGAATATAGGAGACAGGCAGTCTAGCTCCCAAGTCCACATCCATGACTACTGTGTAATACAGCTTCTCAGGAAACTGAACTCCCAGAAGAGGAGGAATTAAATCTGCAGAAAGTAAAGAACATTCTAGCCTAGGTAATAGTGTGTGCAAAGGGTCTGAGAAAGGAGGGAGCATGGCAGATTTGAAGATCTAGGCCAGCATAGCCAGAATAGACAGAATGAGGGAAGAGAGATGGGGGATGAGGCTGGGAAAGAAGGAAGGAAAGAAGAAAAAAGAGGGAAGGTAGAGGAAGGTAGAGAGGGAATAGTGAAGGAGGGAGAGAAGAAGAACAAGAAGGAGAAAGGGAAAGAGGGTGGGAGGATGGGAAGGAAAGAGGAGTAAAGCAAGCAGGCAGAGAGGTAGCTGATCGGATATGAGCCATATCGGATGAAGGGATGGAACATATGTGCCAGGTTAAGGATTTCAGTTTTTATCATCCTAAGAACAGTAACAAGCTAGTGAAGGTTTTTAAGCAGGTCCAAATGTGATGTAATCAGGTTTGCATTTCAAGGCTCTCCTGGTTTTTTTAATGTGCCAAGTATACTGAGGAGGGTTAACATGGGAGTGGGAGGTCTAGCTGGAACAGAGGGTAGTGTGAGCACATGGAAAAAAGCGAGCATATTTAAATACATTTAGATCATCTCTTCCTCCCCACACTTCCCTAAATCCTGACACCCCCATTTTTCAGCCCAAGCTCACCTTTTCTGACAAAGCCTCTTCAAGTGTTGCTAGTGCAGTATCCGTATTACTGGAATCCGTCTGCAAGGACTTTACTCTGTCTTTCAGGTTGGTTAGTTGTTTGTCTTTATCTCTAAGCTGTTCTTGCAAGTTTTCAATCTGAAAATAAAGATCACCATATTTAATGCATATGTTATTACAGATCCAAGGCCAAGATTCCTGAAGTGGACATGTTTTTAAAAAATAGACCCCAGGCTATGGACATTGTCAGCATTGAGGTTACACTGACTTAGAATCAAGGCCATTTTGATGAGACCTCATCCTTCCATGTAATTCAACTTTGTATTTAAATGGAGGTAGTCTGCTCTATAGAGATGAGCAGACTATCTCCTTCCATACTGATGCAAGCCCTTCAGACATGTAAGCATTGCTATTTCTACCTATTTCTATCCTTCCTACCAGATTAGTCCACAATCTAATCTTCGTACAATGAATCAGAGAAATACATACACAGGATTTTTTCATTCAATGAAAAGACATGTATTGGGTGCCCATTCTGCAACAAGCACCATATCAATATATGGCAGAACCTATGTAGTCATTCACTCACTCCTTTATTCAGTATTAAACTTCGTGATATGCCAAATGTTGTCAAGTGGCTGTTTCAAAGTAACCACACGAAAAGCCAAGTAGGTTATCATCAGTAGACTGTTAATGGGAAGAACTTGTGATATAAATCAAATGTAACAAGTACTAAACACTCCATTTGGCAACTAAGTCATGTGCTGGCAACCAACCAGCCACTTTTATCCACTATCTGCAGCCTGAAATAAACACGCCAAATAGCTGATTATAACGCCTGCCCACGAGCAGCAGCAAGGACCTTTCCCGGGCATTGCATACATTATCATTCATGTTTTTATTCTCTGCTTTCAAACCATGTATTTCTTATCTCAGGATTAAAAAAAGCCCACTGTACAAACAATTTATTTGTATTAAGGGTTTTAAAGTGACAAGTAAAAAAAGCAGTACAACTCTAAGATAAGTCCATTCAAAATATTTGTATTCTGCACCCAGGCTTTCACAGGAAGTCATTCCAAATGCATGTTTAACAATGTGTGACTTAAACAAATTTTTGGATTATTTGATTCATTTAGCATAAATCTGGAATGCAACACAAATAATGACAGTCAAAGCAATAACGAGAGGAGAAGAGGGTAACAGTGGAGGTGGCAGTGGTAACAGCAGGAAAATAGCTCTGAATGCAAAAGCAAAGACCCTGCTGACCCTCAACTGGCAGGACATGGGACTTGGCTAATTTTTCCAATGGCTACAGGGATTTGAACTAATAGAGATGGACTTTTTCCTTTTCCTTCCTTCCCTCCTTCCTTCCTTCTTTCCTTCCTTCCTTGCTTCTTTCTCCCTTCCTTCTTCCTTCTTTCCTTTTTTTTTTCCCCCACCAATGCATCTTTTTAATAAGACATGTTTTCTGCCTTGAGACAGACATCCTGGAACTCAAGTTATAGTCAAATAATTAGGCTTCTCCTTCATCCAAAATGCAGTGTATTCCTGCCCACCTACCACTGTGAGAATTCACTGTAACTTCATGGAAAACACAGGAACTCAAAAGGCATAATCATCTGCAGTCAAAACAAAGGTTTTCTCCATTCCAGACAAGTGTTTGTGAGGTTACACAACACCATAAATAAATAGATGGCTGAACAAGAATATGGATGGTTACATATCAGAATGATACTCATTATATAAAAGAAGCCAACAGCTGAGAGGACTGGCTCTTCAAAGAGAGTGTGTGTTATTACTGTGAGTACACCCACACCCACGGATACATTTGTGTATGCGAATATGTGTAAATCCCTGGTGGTTCCAAGCAAACTGATTAGGCACCCTGTCACCCTGTGAGACAGTGCCCTGGATAGGACAGAGGATACGTTCTCTCAGGGCATCAGCCCTAGGGCAGTGATAGGCACTGATTTCAAGGGACTTTGGGCACTGGAAACAGAGGCTAAATAAGACTGACTAGGAGCCTGTGAGAGGCTCCTTGGAGCGTCCCCAAATCACTGAGAGGACTGAAGAAGTTAGGACCAGGGTTCTACCAGTATGCAGGTAATATAACACTTTGTATTTTCTGGTTTTCTGATAGTAGCCATCCTAAAGGGTATGAGATGGTGTCTCCTTAGAGTTTTGATTTTCATTTCCCTCATGACTAATGATGTTGAATGATCTTTTCATGTGCTTACTAGCCATCTGTATATCTTCTTTTCTTCTCTTTTCTTTTTTTTTTTTTTATTATGTTATGTTAGTAACCACCCCAAAACTGCTAGAACTCATACAGGAATTCAGTCAAGTGGCAGGATATAAAATCAATGCACAGAAATCAGTGGCATTCCTATACACCAACAACAAGACAGAAGAAAGAGAAATTAAGGAGTCGATCCCATTTACAATTGCACTGAAAACAGTAAGATAACTAGGAATAAATCTAACCAAAGAGGCAAAGGATCTGTACTCAGGAAACTATAAAATACTCATGAAAGAAATTGAGGAAGACACAAAGAAATGGAAAAACGTTCCATGCTCATGGGCTGGAAGAACAAATATGGTGAAGATGTGAATGCTACCTAGAGCAATCTACACATTTAAAGCAATCCCTATCAAAATACCAGCCACTTCTTTCAAAGAAATGGAACAAATAATCCTAAAATTTGTATGGAACCAGAAAAGACCCCAGATAGCCAGAGGAATGTTGAAAAAGAAAAGCAAAGCTGGCAGCATCACAATTCTGGACTTCCAGCTCTATTACAAAGCTGTAATCATCTGTATATCTTCTTGAGAGAAATGCCTATTCAAGCCATTTGCCCATTTTTGAATCACATTGTTTGATTTGTTGTTGTTGTTGTTGTTGAGCTTTAGGAATTCTTTATATATTCTGCATATTAATTGGTTGTCACATATACAATTTATAAATATTTTGTCCAATTCTGTGGCTTGCCTTTTTACTCTGCTGATACTCTTTTGATGTGTAAATTCCCCCATTAATACTGCCTTCTCTACATTCCATAAGTTTTGGTACATTGCACTTCTTTTGTTTTCATTCACCTTTAAGTATTTTTTCATTTCTCTTGTGATCTGTTTTAATCCATTCATTTTTTAAAAGTGTGTTGTTTAATTTCAATAAATTTGCAAAATTTCCAGTTTTTCTGTTACTGATTTCTAACTTCATCCTTTTGTGGTTAGAGAAGATACTTTCTATGATATCCATCTTTTTTTTTTAAGATTTTATTTATTTGACAGAGAGAGACACAGTGAGAGAGGGAACACAAGCACGGGGAGTAGGAGAGGGAGAAGCAGACTTCCCCACGGAGCAGGGAGCCTGATGTGGGGCTCGATCCCAGGACTCTGGGATCATGACCTGAGCTGAAGGCAGACACTTAATGACTGAGCCACCCAGGCGCCCCTCTATGATAACCATCTTTTAAAATCTATTGAGACATAATGTGTGGGCTATCATATGGTCTAGCCTGGGGAATGTTCCATGTGCACTTGAGAAGAATGCTCATGCTGTCATTGTTGGATAGAGTGTTCTGACTATGTCTGTTAGATCTTATTGATTTATTTTGTTGTTTAAATCCTCTATTACCCTATTTATCTTCTCTCTGATTATTTTATCTTTGAGAGTGGGGTACAGACATATCCAACTATTATTGCAAAACTATCTTCTTCCTCTTTCCGTTCTGTCAGCTTTTGCTTCACATATTTTGATGATCTGGCATTAAGTTCATAAATGCCTGTAATTGTCATATCTTCTAGTATTGAAACTTTCATTAATTTTTAAGGCCTTTATTTGTCTATTGTAAATTTTTCTGACCTAAAGTCTGTTTTGTCTCTTTCAGTTATTACTTGCATAGAACATATTTCTCCAACCTTTCACTTTCAATCTATTTGTGTCTTTGGATCTAAAGCGAATCTCTTATAAATAGCATATAGTTGGATCATGGTGCGGGTGGTGGGGAGGGGTTGTTTGTTTGTTTTCTTGTTCTTAGTCCACTCTGCCAATCTCTGTCTTTCAATTAGAGTTTAATCCATTTACATTTAAAGTAATTACTGAAAAGGAGGAACTTATATCTGTCATTTTGCTATTTATTTCTGTATACCTTATAATGTTTTTGTTCCTCATTTCCTGCATTACTATCTTCTTTTGTACTTAGTTGATTTTTTTGTAGTGAAATGATTAAATTCTATATTCATTTTGTGTGTGTGTATATTCTACAGCTATTTTCTTTGTGGTTACCATGGGGATGACTTGTAACATCCTAAATTTGTAACACTTAATTTTAACACTTTGGATTTATACCAGCTTAGCTTCAATAACATACAAAAATTCCACTCTTTTACAGCTCCATCTCCACTCCTTTTGGTTGCTGATGTCATAAAATTCTATCTTTATACATTGTGTGTTCCCAAACACAAGTAATAATTCTTTTAAATGCATTAGTTTTTTACCTAATGTAGAAAATGAAACATGGAGTTACAAACCAAAGTTACAATAATACTAGTTTTTAGACTAATAATTTTTGTAAATATATTAGTCTCTTAGGTCATGTAGAAAACAGAAAATGGAATCACAAACCATTATTACAATACTAGCTTTTATAATTGCCCACGTACTTACCTTCATTGAAATATTTATTTCTTCACATGGCTTTGGGTTACCATCCAGTGTCTTTTCATTTCACCCTACATGACTCCTTTAAGAATTTCTTGTAGGACAGCTCTAGTGGTAACAAACTCCTAAGCTTTTATTTATCTGGGAGTATCTTAATTTTTCCCTCACTCTTTTTTTTTTTTTTTTTTTTTATTCATGAGAGAGAGAGAGAGGCAGAGTGAGAAGCAGTCTCCCAAGGAGCAGGGAGCCCGATGTGGGACTCGATCCCAGGACCCTGAGATCATGACCTGAGCCGAAGGCAGACGCTTAACCATCTGAGCCACCCAGGTGCCCCCTCACTCTTTTGTTTAATTTTTTAAATTCAATTTAGTGTAATAATACATATAGTGTATTATTAGTTTCAGGGGTAGAATTTAGTGATTCATCAGTTGCATATAACATCCAGTGCTCACTACATCAAGTGCCCTCCTTAATG